GGCCGGGCGCGGTGGCTCAAGCCTGTAATCCCAGCACTGTGGGAGGCTGAGGTGGGTGGATCACGAGGTCAAGAGATCGAGACCATCCTGGTCAACATGGTGAAATCCCGTCTCTACTGAAAATACAAAAAATCAGCTGGGCCTGGTGGTGCGTGCCTGTAATCCCAGCTACTCAGGAGGCTGAGGCAGGAGAATTGCCTGAACCCAGGAGGCGGAGGTTGCGGTGAGCCGAGATCGCGCCATTGCACTCCAGCCTGGGTAACAAGAGCGAAACTCCGTCCCAAAAAAAAAAAAACAGAAGATTGAAGAAAAGAGCTGAAAGTCAGTCAGTCTCTGTGAAGACTAGCAAGGTGTCCCACAATGATTGAGAGTTCTTTTAATTCTAAAAGGTGTCCATCCTCAGGCATGGGGGGTTACCTTTTGAGGTGGGTAGCACCAGAGGTATTGCATCTATGTCTCTAACTGGCAAGTCTCCTGATGTAGGGTCCACCAAATGTAACATGATCTCTGTTCCCAAACTGTAAGAGATCCCAGAGGACACTGAAATAAAGGAAAAATTCAGTCAATTACATGCAACTTTCTGAAAACTGTACATAACTTGTAGCAGGAATTTCTCAGCACTTTCATGATGGTATATGACATGTCAGAGTCATCCTTGTGGTAGGGTAGACAACTCTATACTAGAGAGTAAGAACAAGTGTTCAGCAGTAATGACTTTATTTAAAATGAAAATCAGGTTTTATGATTATGGAATTGATCGATATATTTTTGGATCATTTTTTAAGTGTCTGCTCAGCCTGGAAGAAATGACCCTCCCTTTTCTCTGTGAAATAGGCCTCTATCCCTCTCTCCACTCAAATTACAGCAACTGACTCCCCAGGAATCAGTTTATACTCTATAACCCAGTCCCTGAAGTTGTTGCTCGCTGGACCAAGCTGGACCAATCAGATTCTCTCTCACAGAAGGTTGAAAATAAAGCTGGGACTATAGGCGTGTGCCACAACGCCCAGCTAATTTTTGTATTTTTAGTAGAGACAGGGTTTCACCATGTTGGCCAAGATGGTCTCGATCTCTTGACCTCTCATGATCCGCCCGCCTCAGCCTCCCAAAGTGCTGGGATTACAGGCATGAGCCACCATGCCCAGCTGACTTTTTAATTTTTTTTTATTTTTGAGATTGGGTTTCACTATGTTGGTCAGGCTGGCCTTGAATTCCTGACCTCAGGTGATCTGCCCACCTTACCCTCCCAAAGTGCTGGGATTACAGGTATGAGCCACCGTACCTGGCCATAATGACTTTTAAGGCAGAAAAATGGTTTATCTTGTTTACCTCTATAGATGCAGTATCCAACAGTTATTGGCATACAACAAGTACTCAATAAATAAATATTGAGTGTATGAAAAGAATAATGAACGAACAAGAGAGAGAATGACACTGAGGGGCTGAAATGAGTCAAAAAGTTCTTAAAGCGGCCGGGCGCAGTGGCTCAAGCCTGTAATCCCAGCACTTTGGGAGGCCGAGGCGGGCGGATCACGAGGTCAAGAGATCAAGACCATCCTGGTCAACATGGTGAAACCCCGTCTCTACTAAAACTACAAAAAACTAGCTGGGCATGGTGGCGTGTGCCTGTAATCCCAGCTACTCAGGAGGCTGAGGCAGGAGAATTGCCTGAACCCAGGAGGCAGAGGTTGCGGTGAGCCGAGATCGCGCCATTGCACTCCAGCCTGGGTAACAAGAGCGAAACTCTGTCTCAAAAAAAAAAAAAAAAAAAAAGTTCTTAAAGCATTCTGTTCTTGATCCCAGTCTTTTCCAATTTTGTCTCCAAAATTTACATCTCAGCAGGAGCAGTGGTTCACACCTCTATTCCCAGCACTTTGGGGGTGAGGCAGGTGGATCATCTGAGGTTAGTAGTTCGAGACCAGCCTGGCCATCATGGTGAAACCCCGTTCTCTACTAAAAATACACAAATTTTCTGGCCACGGTGGCATGTGCCTGTAATCCCAGCTACTCAGGAGGCTGAGGCAGGAGAATTGCTTGAACCTGGGAGGCTGAGGTTGCAGTGAGCCGAGATCACAGCGTTGCACTCCAGCCTGGGCAACAAGAGTGAAACTCCGTCTCAAAACAAAAAAGTCTGGGCAAGGTGGCTCATGCCTGTAATCCCAGTACTTTGGGAGGCTGAGGTGGGCAGATCACCTGAGGTCAGGTGTTCGAGACCAGCCTGGCTAACATGGTGAAACACCATCTCTACTAAAAGTACAAAAATTAGCCAGGCATGGTGGCGTGTGCCTATAATCCCAGCTACTCAGGAGGCTGAGGCAGGAAAATAGCTTGAACCCAAGAGGTGGAGGTTGCAGTGAGCTGAGATAGTACCACAGCACTCCAGCCTGGGCAACACTCCCTCTTGGAAAAGAAAAAATTAGGTCTCTAGCCTTAACTTTCAGATTTGTACAAATTCCAGTTTTTTAAACATTTCTGCATGGCTACTAGACATCTAAAACTCACCTTTCCCAAACAGGAATTGTAATTTAACTTAACAGTCTGATTATTTCCCAGTCTTTCCCTATTTCCATAAATGTCACTATCTGGCTCTGTTCCTACCTTAGGCTCTACAGTGGAGTCCTGTGTCCTATACAACAAATTATCCCTTTGTGTTGAAGCTAGCTTGACTTGTCAACTAAAGAAGGGTGTTCACGAGCTTATTTTGAACAGACAGAAATATAAAGAAAGCAAAAGGTACATTGAAGAAATTCTATCACCTAGAGAAAATATAAACATTGTATTGATCTGCTTTCCAGTCTATTTAACTTGAATTGAATCATTTATACCCTGTTCTATAATGTTCCATTTTTAAAAATCACAATAAATGGAGAGAATCTTTCTAATGTCACAGTCTTTTTTGTGTGTGTGTGAGATGGAGTTTTGCTCTTGTTGTCCAGGCTGAAGTGCAATGGTGCGATCTCAGCTCAATTCTCTTGCCTCAGCCTCCCTAGTAGCTGGGATTACAGGCATGTGCCACCATGCCCAGCTAATTTTTTTGTTTGTTTGTTTTTGAGATGGAGTCTTTTTTTTTTTGAGACGGAGTTTCACTCATGTTACCCAGGCTGGAGTGCAATGGCGCGATCTCGGCTCACCGCAACCTCCGCCTCCCGGGTTTAGGCAATTCTCCTGCCTCAGCCTCCTGAGTAGCTGGGATTACAGGCACGCGCCACCATGCCCAGCTAATTTTTTGTAGTTTTAGTAGAGACGGGGTTTCACCATGTTGACCAGGATGGTCTCGATCTCTTGACCTCGTGATTCACCCGCCTCAGCCTCCCAAAGTACTGGGATTACAGGCTTGAGCCACCGCGCCCGGCGAGATGGAGTCTTGCTCTGTCACCAGGCTAGAGCACAGTGGCACAGTCTCGGCTCACTGCAACCTCCGCCTCCTAGGTTCAAGCGATTCTTCTGTCTCAGCCTCCAGAGTAGCTGGGACTACAGGCATGTGCCAAAAGCCCAGCTAATTTTTGTATTTTTAGTAGAGACGGGGTTTCACCATGTTGGACAGGATGGTCTCGATCTCTTGACCTCATGATCCACCCGCCTCGGCCTCCCAAAGTGCTGGGATTACAGGCGTGAGCCACTGTGCCTGGCCTAAGTTTTCTATTTTTACTAGAGATGAGGTTCAAGCGATTCTTATGACTCAGCCTCCAGAGTAGCTGGGATTACAGGAATGTGCCACCATGCCTGGCTAATTTTTGTATTTTTAGTAGAGATGGGGTTTTACCATGTTGGTCAGGCCGATCTTGAACTCCTGATCTCGTGATCCACCCACCGTGGCCTCCCAAAGTGCTGGGATTACAGGTGTGAGATGCTGCTCATGGCTTCTTTTTTTCTTTTTTACACTCTGTAACATTGGGCAAGCAATTTAAATTTTGTAGCCAGTTCCCTTTACTCTGATTATTATTTTTTTGAGACAGGGTCTCACTCTGTCGCCCAGGCTGGAGTGCAGTGGCGCAATCTCAGCTCATTGCAACCTCTGCCTCCAGGGTTCAAGTGATTCTCATATCTCAGTCTCCCAAGCAGCTGCAATTATAGGCGCAAACCACCATGCCCAGCTAATTTTTGTATTTTTAGTAGAGACAGGGTTTCACCATAGTGGCCAGGCTGGTCTCGAACTCCTGATCTCAAGTGATCCACCCGCCTCAGCCTCCCAAAATGCTGGGATTATAGGTATGAGACCACATGCCGGGCCAGAAAGTAGATTTTAAGTGTTTTCATCAAACACAAAAAATTGATGAGTATATGAGGTAATATATATGTTAACTAGCCCAAGGTAGCCATTCTCTGCTATAGATACATATTTCAAAGCAACAAATTTTACACAATAAATATACACAATTTCAAATTGTCAATTAAAAATTAATTAATTAGCTCTCTCTGGTTCGTGCCTTCAAGATGACAAAGAAAAGAAGGAACAACAGTTGTGCCCAAAAGAGCTGCAGCCATGTGCAGCCTATTCGGTGCATGAACTGTGCCTGATTCGTACCCAAGAACAAGGCCATTAAGAAATTCGTCATTTGAAACATAATGGAGGCTGCAGCAGTTAAGGACATTTCTGAAGCGAGCGTCTTCGATGCGTACATACTTCCCAAGCTCTATGTGAAGCTGCATTACTGTGTGAGTTGTGCAATTCACAGCAAAGTAGTCAGAAATCTATCTCACGAAGCCCAAAAGGACAGAACACCCCCACCCTGATTTAGACCTGCGGGTACTGCCCCATGACCTCCACCAAAATCCATGTAAGGAGCTGAGTCCTTAAAAGACTGAAGATGAGTGTTCTCTGGAGAAAAATAAAATGGAAATTGTACTTTAAAAATTAATTAATTGATTTGAAAAGGAGTTTTATTCATTCTGCAGACAGTGGATACATTTCTCAGCATAAGAGCAATAGAATTAGAGCTTTGGAAGAGCTTTAGGAAGATTCATCTATTATTAGTGATTTGGAAATTGGGGAGAGGACAGTGTTAAGAGGATATTGCGATAATTTAGGCAAGCGGTCTTGAACTAGGGAAAGATGGAAGTAGGAGGATAGAAGAATAGGATGGATCATGAACATAGTGAGGAAGGAGAATCAAAAGATTTGACAACTGGTTGAATGTGGGATAGAGTTAGAAGGGTGACTGGATTAAAGATGATTTGGTAATGTTGTGCTGGATGCCTGGGAGACTGGCGGTACAATATAAAATAAATAAACTGGGCCAGGCATGGTGGCTCACGCCGGTAATCCCAGTACTTTGGGAGGCCGAGGCGGGTGGATCACCTGAGGTCAAGAGTTCGAGACGAGCCTGGCCAACATGGTGAAACCCTGTCTCTACTAAAAATACAAAAATTAGCTGGGCATGGTGGTGTGTGCCTGTAGTTCCAGGTACTCGGGAGGCTGAGGCAGAAGAGTTGCTTGAACCTGGAATGCAGAGGTTGCAGTGAGCAGAGATAACACCACTGCACTCTAGCCTGGGTGACAGAGTGAGACTCTGTCTCAAAAAAAAAAAAAAAGAAAAAAAGAAAAGAATAAACTTGTTTCATTCTTCTCAAAAACACCCCTAGGAAAGACATAGGAAACTATAAATATGCATCAGCTAGAAACTTACAGTTCTTGCTTGCTCCAGATAGCTCTTGCTATTTCTTTTCTCTCAATGTTCTGGTGTCCTTTGGTAATCTAGGTTCCAATCCTCTTGTCCTTCTGGCTTGTTAACAGAGGAGTTAATCCAGTTCTGGTTAGCTTTCAAGATGTTAACTCTTTGAAGATCAGAGTGTGAAGGCTGTGTTTTTTCTCTATGCATGTTTCACTTGGAGAAAGAGCAGCGTAAACACTCCTTAACAGATCCACTTCTCAACTAAAATTAAAGCTGAAAACACATTTGCTTAATTTCAGATTTAAAAAAATTGGTTGGTGTTGAGAGGTTGATCTTTAAATTTTTACCTAAAGGGCAACAACAGTGGGAGTTGTTCTGAAGCCCTGAGATCCCTTTGAAGAAAACAAACACTGCACTCGTTGGTGGAATCAACATGCCTTTTCAGTCCACATGTGCCAGAGCCCTTTCAAGTAAGAAAACGTATATCTTCCATTTCACCATGACCACAGTTTCCAAACCAAACTTTGGGATGTAATTGTGAAGCCATAGGACTTGATATAAAAAAATTAAACGTTCTTTATTTTTTTTATTTCAGACTCCATTCCCTCAGAAAAAAATTAAATGTTCTTCAAAATTCTGCATGGCTGGCCACTGCATTCATATTATATATTAAGTGGAATATGGTCTCAATTGTTACATAAAATGCTCTCTTTAATGCAATGAGTGTGTGGATTGAGAAAGCTCCATTCTGGTTATTGCCATGAGGTTCAGGGATTTCCAGGAGGATGAACATATAGTTAATGGGCGCCATGTGATTTCCTCTAAATCCCATAAAATAATAAAAATAAAGCTGGGGAGATAATTAGGAAGCAGAGAAAGTATCCAGGCCACATACATTTTCCAGTGAAGAGAGGAAAATCCAATGTAATATTTTCCCAGGTTTAAGTGACACATTTATAAAATATAAAAGCTGGGCTCGGCCAGGTGCAGTGGCTCATGCCTGTAATCCCAGCACTTTGGGAGGCTGAGGAGGGCGGATCACAATGTCAGGAGATTGAGACCATCCTGGCCAACACAGTGAAACTCCGTCTCTACTAAAATACAAAAATTAGCTGGGCGTGGTGGCATGTGCCTGTAGTCCCAGCTACTAGGGAGGCTGAGGCAGGAGAATTGCTTGAACCTGGGAGGCAGAGGTTGCAGTGAGCCGAGGTTGCGCCACTGCACCCCAGCCTGGTGCCTGGCGACAGAGCAAGACTCTGTCTCAAA